TCTTTAGTATAAAGAAATATAAATATATTTTTTATTATTTAATTCTGGTCTTTTTTCATAATTAAAATTTTTTGTACATTTTAATTAAAAAAAAATTGAATTTTTGTAAAAAAAAATACACTGCGTCGCAAGGTTACTCTTGACAGCTTTTTGACTCTACCGGATTACTGAAGGCAGAAGTGGCTGCTATTAAGGAGACGGCAGAGGTACCGCTACGAATCGCAGCCCCTTTAAGGAGATGAGCATTAACTCCGACAGCAGGGCTGCGATACTAGCTCAAAGCTAGTCAAGTGATGTCTATCCTCACTAGAAATACCATCAAGCTATTTCATCATCACTCGTTTCGGTGCCTGGTCATAGCAGAATCGCTGGAAACTGCAAATCCGCCGAGCTAGTCGGATCCTTGTCCGGCATCCTTTGGAAAGGTTTCGAGTGAATCTCCATTGTCGTCTTGCGTTCTAGCAATGGATTAATGGACGTCGCGTGCGCTTAGCAGGCACTGGTCGACTGCAATATCTTTTTTAAACAGAGTAGAAGGCAGGATATCTTCTAAACAACGTGCCCTTAGCAAAGTTCATCTTGTCGCAATAGTCGGGATTCCTACTGGACATTGTCAAAAGGTATTCATACGGTAAGACTGGTAAAAAGACGGACGCAAGTGGTTAAAGTTGTATGGAGGGGAGTGATGTGGAAACATTCAGGCACTTCCCCTTCATTGTTCAGCCTTTGTAAGACTGAGATTGAAATATCTCTGCAGTCTTACCTTCGGTGAACCAGGAGACATAGCCGAAACTGGCAGCTCTTTGTCGATTTGTATGGGTCTTATCTTCTATTATATAGGAGTTTTAGTTAACACAACGGACCGACGCTCTAAGCTGTCCAAATGAGATCGCTGTAAGGATCGAGTTCGAAAGCTAACTTAACCTATAAAAAAATATAAATGTAAACTATTAAAGCGCACACCTAGTGTGGCAGCCGAAAAAAGGCGGTTTTTGGGAATTTATTATATTTATACATATTTTAGAAAATACACACTAAAGTTTTTGGAGTAAAACTTTTATATTTTTCGAGTTACATGCGATTTCTGACAGCTGCTGTAGTGATTCTGACATGCTCTGTGTATGAAAGACTTATACTGCGTACTAAAGCATATTTCGGCCCTTCGAAAAATTGGCAAAATGCCTCAACAAGCCTGAGCTTTAGTCTTAACGTTCTCCGTGCAGTTATCAACTTGATTAAACCATATCGATTATTTTCAAATTTTCAACTGTCATTTGTGACATTTGTCGTTTTATAGAAAACGCTTCGAACAAATGTTACCAATATTTAATAATTCAATATATAGCAACAACTTATTCAGATTATAGACGATTTTGAAGAAATATGTGGATTTAGGGGTAAGTTGTTATAATTTTGTTTTCTCATATCGATCCTTACATACTATAAATTACTTTTGAAATATTTTGGGTATTTTTCGGAAGCGAATTCCGACCGAAAACCTAAAGTCCAAAAGATTCCTAATACGTGAAATATAGGCGGTAAGAATGAAAACATTTTATTTTGCTTCCTTTTGTTGTATATATGTACATATGTATACCTATATACACAGAACAAGAATTTAAGCATTTAAGTAATCAAGTAAATAAAATTTAGAATTAATCATTAGAATTCAGAGATTTTCCATTAGATCTTTTGGCCGCTGCTTCAATATAATTTCCAACTAACGTGGAATAATTTCAACAAAAATTTACATCCAGTTTATATTCAGCACGTGCTGCCACAATAAGTCTCGATTGCACCCAACCGAGTAATGAGAAAACGTTCTAACTTATTTAGTCTATGCACAAGCGATTTTCTACTTATTTATTGTTTCATTCGTTTGTGGTTTGTGTGTGTGTAATGAAAAATGGCTCCAACTTTTATGTGTGACGCATATTCGTATTAATTTTTTTACGTGAACTTTTCAGAATTGTGCTTGGGCATAATAATTGAACTTGGTTGCGCCCATGTGTGAAAATGGCCCTCATAGCTTAAGTGATAGTTAAAGAAGTTCCATTTATGTTTACTATGTGAATTTCTGTAGAAGTGTTGAAATTAAATTGCGAGCGCGAATGTTTTGCGACGCGGTTGGTGGTCGAAATAATTAGACAGATGATGAGAATTATGTTGAGTCAGAGTGCAATGGGAATTCACATTTGAAAGTTGATTGATGCTTTGTTTGTCTATTTTGATTTCTATTTGTGATATGCTGTGATGATGACTGTATATAAATTCATAGTAAATACGGGTGTAAGTAAGTGTATGTAATTGTGTGCGAAATGTTTATAAAATGTTGGAATAATTACGGAAAATCGAAGTAATAAATAAAATGTATGAGTTTGATTGAGATGATTTCACAGTAAGAAATTATTAAAATATTTTATTCTAAGAGATGGATGATTTGTGAATTTCAGAAAATCTATTTATTTTTTATATCGAATGTACGTACATACTCGTATAAATATTCTCCGAAAATTTTAAGTTGATATGCATGTATAATCAATTAATTTCGGAGATATGTGCGTATATCTAAACTTTTTTTTTAACTTTATAATTGGCTCCCAAAACTATTAACACATTTTGCTTGGAACACTTTTTTCAGAATCGGTAAGTATAATTTCTTCGAAACGGCTCGACGATTGACTTAAACTTGACCTAGATATATTTGTCAAGTAACAATCGAAGTTGTGAGATTTTTGATAATAATTTCGATTTTGTTTCTGAGGAATTCCGCCATTTTGTCAAAGATCAAAATTTTGACTAGACCTCGATCGTTACTTGTGTTTATCTACTGTACATTTTTCTTTGTTTTTGGATTTGAGTAAATTTAAGCAGGAAAATCTTACTCGCCGCGAGGCATTTACTTTCGGAGGTTCTCCTGAAGGTCCGCTACTGGATCAAGACCATCCTAGATTTTGATTTTTCCAAATGAGTTGCCGATTATTAAAGTACATTAATTTTTGTAAATGTACATTATTTTTGGTATGGGAAACTTTTTCGATTAACCAGATATCTTCTAGAAATTTCGCATAGATTATTGTCTAAAGGAATGTGCGATCTCCGTATAAAAAAATTGTTTAGTTCGGATCAGTATAGTATATATGGTACATAGCTGCAATACAAACTGACCGAACGCAATCAAGTTCTCGTAAGAAATTTTTTGTATTTGTGTGGGGGATCCTGCGAGACACCTTTTTTCGGAGGTCCTCCTGGAGTTCAAAGCAATCCACAATTTTTCAGAATGAATTGCAGATTATTAAAGAAATATAATCAATTCTGTAAAAAGTAATTTTTGTTTATTTAAATAAAATGACTTTAAAAAAAAAATTTTGTAAATACCTATATATACATACATATATATAACAAAAAGGAGTCTTTTTTGACTTGCAAGTGAATATAAGAGTCCCTTAATAGATATTAATATAACTAATAAAAGTTAGCATGTAATTTTTTTTTTTGAACTGACAAAGTGATATATTTTTTTTGTTATTTTTACATATGTTTTGCAATCATCTGATCCCATTGTAGTTAGTAAAAATTTAGAAAACATTTACGAAATAAATTTAAAAAACCGCAAATTTTATGGAAAAATCAGGTTTAGTGACCGGTACCTCCTCGCCCGTAAGAGTTACAACTTGGCCGCAGTGGGCACTTTTGTAGAGCGTTCAATTCTGAATAGAACCCGACTTTGGTCAAAGTGATGCCATACAATGCCGCTAAGCTATAGAGATTTAAAAATATAAAACAGAGTTTTCGTGTATTTTCAACGGGAAATCTTTACATGCATTGTTCCAATACTTAAAATTCATATTTAGGGCTCAAACTTTCCGGTATTTTTTATTTTTTGGTATCTCCAACAAAATTTCAGGATGGGATCGAAAAAAAAATTTAAGAAAAAGTATCCTAATACTGCCGTATAGTATTAGTATATATATGAAAAAAGTATAAACAAAAAAAACCTGAAAAATTTCCATACATTTTTTTTTTTAACTATAAAAAAAAACCATAAAAAAGTTATCGCCCCCGGGTGGGCTCGAACCACCAACCTTTCGGTTAACAGCCGAACGCGCTAGCCAATTGCGCCACGGAGGCACTTGAAAAGTAATGCGCCTAAGGGATATTCTATACGGTACTATGCAAGCAGCAAACGCGTGTGGGATGAACAACCGCACTGTGACAACATTAACAACAAATGGAGTATAATTATGCAATAGTCGGAGACAAATTATATTATTAGACTTTACCATATTTATTTGTTTTTTCTGTTATAATCGTTGTTGTTTTTTTACTAATGGTGGAAAACAGTTGCTGTTTAGTAGTGTTTTGATTATAAAATGTGCGATGTGCCGTATCACTGCTGAAAAAACAGGTGATAGCTAGTGTTGGAATAACAGGAGCACAGAAAAATGCTAAAGGCTGCAAGAGCAAACTGATAATAAACACAATATTTAGTGTACACATATACCTACATTTGCACAGCAGTTGATAAGCGATGGCGGGCAATGTAGATGCGATTACAACTTTTGTATGTGTACATGTGTGTTTTACTATCATTGTTGACATTTTTTTTATTTATTCATGCTTTTGTGCGACTCAAGTATTTCGTTTGGATTTCGATATGAAGGGGCGCCTTATCGCAACGCCCGATTAAAGGGTGTCTGGCGCAACGGCGATCAGTTAAAAATCAAGCAAAGCAGTGTGTGTGTGTGTACGCATAATGTATATGTGCATGTGTGTATGAGTGTATATATGTATGTATGTATGTATGTGCGTGGCGTTATCAACGTATAGAAAAAAGCATATGGCTTGGTGTATGCAAATAGTCTAGCAACAACAAGAACAACAAAAGCGTCAACAGTTTCCAACACTACTACAACTACAAGTACAACTGCAAATACATAGCGTTTTCATCAGGAGTACAGACAGTACACATTACAAAGTAAGCAGTTTTGTTGTTGTACTTACCTAACAAAATCTTTGACAAAACAATAAACGGTAAATAGACCGCGATCGCTGAGCACCACATCGGGCTTTAGCACGGGCAAATAGCAAACAAAATGACTGCTCGAAGGATTGCTGCTGCCACTGCTGTTGTTGCTATTGCCGTGCGCATGCTGTTGTTGCTGCTGCTGCTGTTGTCGTTGTGGCAAAAGCAATTGTTGTTGTTTTTGTTGTGCTTGCTGTTGCTGTTGTGCTTGCCAGCAATGTGACGTAATGAAAGCTTCTGATTGCTCTACCACAGCCGATGTTGTTGTTGTTGCAATTGCAACAACATTTCCATCAACAACATCGATTGGCGGCTGTTGTTGCTGATGTTGATGATGATGGTTATGTATGTGGTTAGTGTGGCGTGTTGTTGCTGTGATTGTGGTTGCAGTTGCGCTCGTTGCAATAACTGCAGTTGCTGCAGTTGTGTTCATGTTGGCATGCTGTTCGCAAGTGTTTATTGTTGTGGTTGTTGTGATTGTGGCACGTTGTTGCGTGCCTGTTGCCGCTTTAGTTGTGGTGGTGTCGTCGCCCAACGGTGTGGACATTGTGCAGCAACATAATTAAGGCGTGCATGTGTGCGTGTTTTCGGCACAGGCGTGCTGTCGCACATGTGTGTGTGTGTGCAGTTTAGAATAAAAATATACTGCAGATTTTTTTTAAATTCCTTTATTAAAGTTACTGCGCTTTCTTTTTGCTTAGTTATTTCTTTTTTTTTGTGTTTTTTGTAGCAATTATTTCCACTTCAGTCTTAATTCAACTGCAATGCTGGTCCATTAAATTACATATTTTTTATAAATACTTACTGCTGCTTTTATTTATACAACATTTACGCAAACAAAAGTAACTCATCTGCGCAATCGCAAGGTATGTGTAGTGTTTAGTATATACATATAAAGCCGAATATTTTATAAAATCATAAAAATGAAAATTTTTGCTGTTAACAACAGGAATTACGTAGATAATCACAATAACAATATAACATAATCTAAAATAACTAACACAGCATGCGAGTATTTGTTTAGACCAATAGCTTCTAATAACATACCATAAATGGCGGCCAATACTTTATAATTGCCAATCTACAATAAGCATATAAGTTATATTTTACTCCACGGTAAATAACGCTACTTGTATTCGTCGCTAATGGCCGAGCAAGAGCTTTGTAAATCAAGAACGCATATATCTATATAACTTTAGTAGAATATTGCGCTATAAGTGGGATAAAAAACCACATTTTTTATAACTTGGGATTTTGTTTTTAAATGTATTTGTTTTACATATATATTTTATATAAAGCCTATTAGTAATAACTAAACTTCTATGAAACTATACCTTCAAGAGATTTGGAAGCTTGGAAAGAAATTGGTAAATTTCACGCCTAAGATGCTAAAAGTTTTAAAAATAATATTTATCAAAAAAGAAATTTCAATAGAACATATTTTTAGTTAAAATATAGTAAAGTTACTAATAATTGTTATTGTAAGATGAAAAATCGAAAGTAAAAGGTGTCACCACTTACACTGTACGACAAATAAGAACCACGCAAGCGCGATTTAATTAAAAAATTTGAATATCTGCACAATGTTTGTTCTGCCTCTTTGGTTGGTTGGTTGAAAAGGATCAACATTAGACCCATTCCTAGCTGGTAACCATATTAAGCCTTAAACAGCAACACAGTGTATTTGGTCGAAAGCCTGATGGTTTTTACCACCCCAGCTGTCCAATGTCTCCTAAATTGGAGCATTGAGAGCCGTGGAATATGTCCGTCTCATACGGCTGAAAGTTGGGCATTCGCATAGATAATGTTCCAGCATCCCATTATCATCCGCGCATGCTCTGCATTCTGCCGAATCCCCTTTTCACATTTATTGAAGGTAGGATCTTAAGGGTAAATAACCTGTAATGTCCCCTACAATGTTACTACAAGTAAGTCGCCTTAATTAAAACTAGAATGTTCATGGACTTGCTGGTTAGAGCAGAAACCCACTTGGCACACTCTGTTATGCCCAGAGTAAGTATATATGGTACGTGCGATCAGCGTGTCGAACTAAGTCGATTTAGCCACGCCCGTCAGCTTTTGAGATATCGATCGGGACCGCCGTCTATAGCTGCCATACAAACTGACCGATCAAAATCAAGTCCTTCTTCACAAAGATCTTTTTCCTTATTAAGTGAACTTATGTTGACTTGAAGGTTTTTTATATCCAATAACGTGGCTAGAAAGAACTAGCAAATCGTTTTCCTGGGATGCAAACCATTTGTCGGTTACGTTTTCAGATCTAGTTATACAAACAGTTTGCTATTATAACAAAGTGACTATAGCTTCGGCAGCCGAAGTAAAAACGCTTTTTCTTGTTAAATTTTTTTTCTTCTGCCAAAACAAAGGTAAAGCGGACCCCCATGGATGGGTTATAAGGATTCTATAAATTCATAAAGCATTCAATTTTAGCAAGAGTCTCGAAAGTAAGAAGCTTTAGAGCGCTATAAAATAGTCACTTTTTGGCTTTCACGCAGTAATTTGCGATAAATCATTACATTTTATAAAATCGGAAGGGCTTTTCAGTAAAGAAGTTGACGTAATATCTACCATTCCATTGTAAAAAATTCACTTGAAGCATAAAAAGTTTTAAACGAGGACACATTTTCCCCATTATGAAAAATGCAACAACTTTTTTCTATTTCCTCCCGCCATGTTCCAAGCTCTACTACACTTTTTGTCGACATATCACATACAACAATAGAGCGTTATATGAAACCATACTAATTCATTAGGACAACAATAAGATGGATGTGTAGAAAGTAATACTGTTGGCGTTGCATACATGAGAAAACTGTCAACCGACGAGCGACTGGTGTGATGACAGTCATTAAAATGCGCTGCAGTCAACACAATGTTTTAACGGTGTTGATGTTGGCATAATCGTGTCATTTCACCAAGGGTACATACATGTGGTATGTGCAAATGTATGTATGTATGTGACAACGTTGGCTTCAAGAGTTTGTCAGTGAGTGAAAACAGCGCTATAATTTATGGTGTAAATTGTCGCTGTGCAATACTTGCGTGCAACAAATGACAATAATAGCGACAAAGGTGGCTAAATTAAAAACAAAAACATACCTGCCACAACATTAAAGTGCAATGAAAACTTAAGGCAAATTTTCTGTTGCAAGAAATAATATAACATCTATATGAAGAAACTTTGTACAACAGAAAGCAAAGAAAACGGGAAAACAGCAAACAAATTTAAATGTCACATAGTGCAGAGTTTTCATATACATTAGGGTGAGCCAGAAATTGAATTCCTGTGTTTAAAAAAAAAATTGTATCTAGGTTTTTGTTAAATATCAACCTTAAATTATAACAAAATTAAAATAGAATTATTTTAAAATTAAATTTTAGATTAAAATTAAATTAAAATTAAGCTTTTAATTTTTAAATTGAAGAAATCTAACTGAGGTAAATTTTGTTGGACATTTTTTGCTCTACAAGAGCTATCCTAATCTGTTCAAAAGTTATCATATTTTTAGTGCAAATAGCTAGAGAAAAATCTATTTTTTCATATGTAATTTATGTAGAAACTGACTCACCGACAGCTTTTAAAATTAAGCTTAACATTTTTCGTGGCAGGGATATATTTTCTCTGTATATCGGATAATTTAACCCATTAATTTGTTTGGTTAGCTTTGGCTCACCCTAATGAACCAAAATATGGAAAATTATTTAACTTAACGCATAAATTCGATAGGTTTCTTTTTGGATCACCTTAATATACATAATAATGTAGGTATTTGCATACATATAAAATAACAGGTCATATTACATATCTGCATATAACACTTCGAGCGTATTTTGTTGATAAGTTGCGACGAATGTCAGCGCTAAGCAAACACAAATAAAAATAAATATATAAAGGACAAAGGAAACATATAAAGGACACATTAAGCATAGTTTAGCATTCTCAAATTAAAAAAAACAACGCGTTGTGTTTAACGATTTTTACCATACAGGGTGGGATTTGGCAACATTTGTAAAAAAATATTTTTGACAATAAGTCTTAATTTTATGGAAGTAGTATGGAAGTGCGACTAAAAAGTAATTGATATTCGTTTTATAAAATGTTAACAAACAAAAAAAAAAACTAAAATACATAAAATTAAATTAAAAAAAATTAAAATAAAAAATAAATAAATAAAAATATTTTTGACAAAATATTGAATAAAATAGTAAAAATTTCTTTTCATTTCATTTCTTTCTTTCATATAACATAATATATATTGCACACATTCATATATATATTTTGCTATATTCGCTTGAGTTTCCACTCAAACGCTGCGTGCCAACTGGAAAATGACAAATGGCAAACTAGGTCAATGCAATTTTCCGTTGCATTTTCCGCACGAGTGAAGGAAAAATGAAAAAGACGACGATAGCAATCCTTCACATCACTCTGTTGCTGTGTGTTTGTGTGTAGTGTGAGGAAATAATGATGAATATGATTATTTTTAAATTGAAGACCTTTATGCACGAAGGAGTATTGACGAAATGAATACTCAATCAAATAAAATTATTTTTTTACTCGTACCGTTATATTTATTTCCTTTTTCCGCTTCCTGTTTGTTCTGCAAGTCAATAAAGGTGAATAAAGGATATGATATAAATTGTCCTCTGTAAATTTGTGCCTAAAGAAGGAAGTGTTTGAGTTCAGCAGGATGTTAAACCAAAAAAAAAATGCAACAGATGCATACATATATTAGAAAAAAAATCGCGTATAGTCCAAAAGACTGGTATTTTTAAAATTTTTCAGTAAATTTTTAAAGCTTCTAATAAATGATGATATTTTGCATTATTTAAGGTGAGAAGTTCAAACTAGTCCCTCAGAGATATGGCTCTGAAATTTTGCACACCCTCTTTTCTAACCAAGCAGCTGTTCATTTGTCGGAACCACTATAGCATATAGCTGCCATATAAACTGAAATATTAGAATCAAGTTCTTGTATGGTAAATTTTTTTATTTGAGAAGACATCTTCACGAAATTTGGCATGAATTATTATCCACGGCAAGGCTAAACAATTTGAAGAAATTTTTCAGATCTACGCACTATATCTTATAGCTGCCATACAAACTGAACGATCAAAATCAAGTTCGTGTAAGGTAACTTCTCTATTTGTGAAGCGTATTCTAGTATCGGTACAACCGAAGTTAACGATTTTTCTGTGTGAGTATGTATAGCTGTGAATAGGCCACAAATTGTTTATGGGCCAAAATGTTAATTGTATTTACATAAGTATGCGCATATATAGTTATGAATAGATGAGTTAAAACGTACATGAATGGAGGTAGTGTGCCAATAGAAATGAGTCCTTGAGCAGGATTCACTTGTGCCAGCTTAAGCCTTGAGCGGCACAATTCAGACGCTGAAGCGCAGAAGTGTTAAATTGCATAAATAAAAGATGTGGCAAGCCACACAACCGCATCAGCCGCTGCAGCGGCGCATAAGCGCGATAGGATCAGCTGAAACGATTGCCACACAAGTCACAAAGCAATAAAAAAAATATACAAATATACTATACATTTGCACAGCTTGCAGTCGGCCAAGTGAAATATGCAAAACCGGCCGATGCCGGTGACGCACTGCCCTAACGAGCTGCAGACACTTCAGCAATGCTTAGGTGTCGCGCATAGCCACCTGCTACACGTGCAAAAAAAAAAAAATCTTTAAGAACATAAGAATGGAGGGCAATAAAAGCAGCTAAGAAAATATGT